ATGGTTGCGACTGGGAATTTTAGGAAATAGAAAAGTCGAAAAAAACCACGAAAGAAGGATTGTACAAGAGATATATTCAACAAGAAATATGACTTCAACAGAAGAAATACTTGGGAAAATTACCGTACTCCCGTCAATACCAAAGCAATTTTATCTGTGTTATGTATTTTTTCGTATTGATGGCTGTTTGTTTTTTGGTTGACAAATCGTAAATATATACTACGGACAAATTGATAAATATATCTCTTTCTCTCTCTGCTTCTCTTCTTTGCCAGTTAAAATGAAACTCATTTAACGCTTGAATACCATCATATGAAACAATTGTTGTTGTATGATATTTATACGAGGTGTGGCTAAAAAGAAACGAGACTGACGTCACAGATTGCGCAACACGATTAACCATTGGTAATCAACACTTTTACAGTGTGGTGTAATATGTGTTCTTTGTTCAACAGCTTTTTTGACACAATATCGCAATTATTTTTGCTCTTTAGGAGCCATAGGTGAATGTGATTAATTGCTTGTTGAAAAAAAAATTGACGTGCGAGATCTGATTGAGTTTTTTGGCGATAGGGGGTTCAATTGCAGAATGACGATTGAGCAATGAATTAACATTAAATTTTGTGTCAAACTTGGAAAAACGGCGACTGCGACTTTGAAGAAATTGTGTGATGTTTATGGAGATTCTTCCATGTCCAGAACAAGAGTTTTTGAATGGCACAAGCGATTTGTGGGATGCAGGGAGGATGATTCGAAGTCAGGAAGGCCTTGCACTTCCACAACTGATACCAACATCGAAAAGGTATCAGTTGTAAGTTCAGTTGTGAAAGGCAGTTGATTCGCAGCGACCGTCGCTCAACAATTCGCGTCATTGCGAAGTTGGAAAAGACAAAAAAAAACGGTTCGCACCAGTTTGGTTGACACTTTTGGCTTGTGAAAGGTGAGTGCCAAAATGGTGCCAAGGCTGTTGACTGAGGAGCAGAAAGCTCAACGATTAAATGTTGCCCAGTTGACATGCATTTTTCCAAGTTTGACACAAAATTTAATGTTTACTCTTTGCCCAATCGTCATTCTGCAATTGAACCCCCTATCGCCAAAAAACTCAATCAGATCTCGCACGTCAATTTTTTTTTCAACAAGCAATTAATCACATTCACCTATGGCTCCTAAAGAGCAAAAATAATTGCGATATTGTGTCAAAAAAGCTGTTGAACAAAGAACACATATTACACCACACTGTAAAAGTGTTGATTACCAATGGTTAATCGTGTTGCGCAATCTGTGACGTCAGTCTCGTTTCTTTTTAGCCATTTGGTTTAAGCCTGTATAATATAAAATATGTACTTTGTCTGTATCCCTGAATCCATATACACTTGCGATTCCAATATGCCTGACTTGTGCATTCCCAGTAAATTGTTATTGTTTTCTCATTGTGAATTTGGAGATTATTGATATATTGACACTATCGTTGCTTCCCAGTCATGTACCGAAAACATCTGTTTATTTGATATTTATATATATATGTATCGACAAAACGAAATAATCTCTCTCTCTTTTCATCACTGGATCTGGCAACTCTGCTGCTGGACACCGCAGTCTCTGTTCATTCACCTCAAAGCCCGTTTCGTCATGTGATTCCCTCCTCTCGCTCAACTGCTGTCAAGATCGTTTACGTTTCGCCTCTCTGTTTTATATCCGTTAAGATCTGTGTAGTTCTGCTGGAAAATTAACTTTTCTACTTGCATCATGAGACTATCGAACATATTGTGCGGTTTTGTAACACTCTGAATCTTCTGGGGGCTTTACAAACTTGATGAACACGATCATTCAGTAATTACCGGCAGTGAATCCAGACCCCACTCACAACAGAATAATGGGAATCTAGCGATTGCATAAAGAAGGAATAATTTTTGCATTCATTATGAAGATATGAGATATGCAATTGTGGAAATATGTCCAGGCAAAGCAACAGGAGTTGCTGAAACCGATTGAATGCTAAAATGGGTTGTTGAACGACGCAGAAAAAATTGGAGAAAGTTCAGAAGATGTTTTTTATAGAATTACTCACGGTAGGAAATCAATAAGAATTCTTGAATGGTGCTATGGATAATTATTTTGCCTTGCCTGCTTACCGTAGACCTATTTTATAGTACACTGACAAGCCATCAAATTGCATATCTTCAAACTAAAATTTTAAATTGGCCTTTCTTGACTAAAAACCACCCTATATTGCTAATGTATTATAACAAGCACTGGTATGTGTAAATGTAGTCTATTTGTAATGTTGCATATATATTTTTTCGTTAAAATGATGGAAATTTTGCTGAAAAATATCTGCCCGCTATTCAACATTTCAGAACGTTTAGCACATACTTCAGTACTTAGCAAATTTTGTGTCGTTTAGACAATAAATGCTGAAATGGTACAGTTAATACTATAACCAGCTTCAGAGAAATCCATTCCGATTTTATTTTATGATCATAATTTTTTTACTACGATGTGTACTTTAGTAATATTCGGAAATATAACTTTACATTATATCTCCCTCTTCATTACAGTACCAACATATATCATTGAAAACATGGTTCGGCTCATATTCATTGGAAATGAGCAAAATACAGGAATGAAGTAATTACAATGAAGGAAACCTTGAATCCAACCACCTCCACTTGAAGAACTGCTGTTCTTTTTCAGGGAAGTGCAAATTTTGTGCAGTTATTAGGCTTCCCGCTGCTTGTCAGCAGGGAGCCTATTGTATTCCTACGTTTACTATTATTATTATTTATTAATATTATTATTTATTTTTATTATTTTTTTTTCAAATTGGTCCTACAAACTTGAAATTCACCTCAAATGTGCAGAAGTTCTCAGCTAGCAATAAAATGCAAATTTTATGCATGACTGATCACGTTTTCACGCTCCAGTGAGCAAAACGCGTCTTCAGAGTTTTTTTGCGATTTCTCAAAATTGATACATGGTATTGGGTTGAAATTCATAACAATGATTAATGGACATGTTCCGGATACGATATGTCAAGGATACGCATGAGTGACCTCGGCGATACGCTCCAGTGAGCAATATAGGATTTTACATTTTCATCTTCTTCTCGAGAACGACACTACTTAGAGACTTGAAATTTACATCACATGCAGATAATAAGTCCCCCATCATAAATTGCAAAACGCGTCTTCAGTTTTTTTACGCGGGAAGCCTGTTAAACCTGCACGCAGCTCTAGTTGTGATTTAGTATTATTTGAAATCCGGATTTAAAAATATTTTTTTTCAAAATGTGTTCGAAATTCATGTATTGGGTTATGGCCCCGACTGTGATATACTTTTACTCTGCTAGGATTTGTAGTCAGGCAATTTGTTATTTGGAAGTAAATTTTCGCTAAATGTGATGAGGTGTTGTAGCGTGACTAAACACTATACTTTTTTATTGTTTTATTTTTTAAAATCGATTGAATTTATTAAAATAACCAAAATTGGAATGAATTAAGCCAGGGGTGTGCAAACTGCGGTCCGCGTAGAAGTGCCAATTTTGAATGACATGCTCGCGAAACGAGCTTTTAGTTTCATTATTTTGGAACATGCGAGCAATTTCAATCTCCTTGCGTTGCGAAGCTTATACCAGTATCCTGTTGCAAAGTACACAATGTTTTAAAAGCTTTCTAAATTATTTTTGTAATATTAGTGCTTCTACCAATGTGAGATTTTCTACATACGAAAGGCCGACAACAAAAAACGTGTAGTGACATTCGTTTATTTTGGGTTAATTTAATGCAGTGATTAAAGCAGAGATGTTCGATTCGAATTTGTTATTCGAATATCGTTTTTCGTGTTTGTAAGGAAACCGAATTCCTAGAGCCACCGCCATCGTTTTAATTTGAAACTTTTACACTTTTACATTTTTAGCGTAATTGAAGACATTCATGTGCGACACGGCAGTCAATTAGCGCTGTCTTGAAGTTACACGTCGAGGATGTTTTTGATTGAAAATATTTTACAAATATTATTGTATAATCCAATTCAGTCGAGATAGTTTGTGCGGCATCGGCAACAAATCTAAAAGCAAATTGTGTTGTACCGGTAATTAATTGTTTTCATCCTCAACATAAAGGGAAATTTGTTTTATTATTTGCAATTTAGAGCGTATAAAATAGCTCTCAAATATTATTTAGTATTTATTGCGGCGTCGTTGATTACAATATCGTTCAGTTTAAGTTGACGGTATAATTTATATTCAAAATTAAAATCATAACAGGCTAACTTAAATACTTAAATCAGCGCCAACTAAATAGGGAAAATCGGAATAAATTTATGGTCCAACCCTAACCTGGTACACATACTACGGTCGTAAAATCATACCCAGTAAAATCATACCTTATATAATTTCAAAAGTACCAGGATGTTGTATATTGAACTGCCTTTCTTTCTTACATATGACCCATATGTTTGTGGCCGTAGCCACAAGGTTACTTTAGCTAGATAGTATCATAGTGGTAAATGAGAATAACATAATCTCATTTCATTAAATAGCAAGTTTATTTGTTAGCTAACCCAAAATGGTTGGACTATGATCTAACGGGGAGGGAATACGTTAGTGACAACGATCTAACGTGAAGGGAATGTTGTTAGACTAAGATCTAACGGGGAGGGAATACGTTAGTGACAACGATCTAACGTGAAGGGAATGTTGTTAGACTAAGATCTAATGGGGAGGGAATACGTTAGTGACAACGATCTAACGTGAAGGGAATGTTGTTAGACTAAGATCTAACAGGGAGGGAATACGTTAGTGACAACGATCTAACGTGAAGGGAATGTTGTTAGACTAAGATCTAACGGGGAGGGAATACGTTAGTGACAACGATCTAACGTGAAGGGAATGTTGTTAGACTAAGATCTAACGGGAAGGGAATACGTTAGTGACAACGATCTAACGTGAAGGGAATGTTGTTAGACTAAGATCTAACAGGGAGGGAATACGTAGTGACAACGATCTAACGTGAAGGGAATGTTGTTAGACTAAGATCTAACAGGGAGGAAATACGTTAGTGACAACGATCTAACGTGACGGGAATGTTGTTAGACTAAGATCTAACGGGGAGGGAATACGTTAGTGACAACGATCTAACGTGAAGGGAATGTTGTTAGACTAAGATCTAACAGGGAGGGAATACGTTAGTGACAACGATCTAACCTCTGAAGGGAATGTTGTTAGACTAAGATCTAACGGGGAGGGAATACGTTAGTGACAACGATCTAACATGACGGGAATGTTGTTAGACTAAGATCTAACAGGGAGGGAATACGTTAGTGACAACGATCTAACGTGAAGGGAATGTTGTTAGACTAAGATCTAACGGAGGAAATACGTTAGTGACAACGATCTAACGTGAAGGGAATGTTGTTAGACTAAGATCTAACGGGGAGGGAATACGTTAGTGACAACGATCTAACGTGAAGGGAATGTTGTTAGACTAAGATCTAACAGGGAGGGAATACGTTAGTGACAACGATCTAACGTGAAGGGAATGTTGTTAGACTAAGATCTAACGGGGAGGGAATACGTTAGTGACAACGATCTAACGTGAAGGGAATGTTGTTAGACTAAGATCTAACAGGGAGGAAATACGTTAGTGACAACGATCTAACGTGAAGGGAATGTTGTTAGACTAAGATCTAACGGGGAGGGAATACGTTAGTGACACCGATCTAACGTGAAGGGAATGTTGTTAGACTAAGATCTAACAGGGAGGGAATACGTTAGTGACAACGATCTAACGTGAAGGGAATGTTGTTAGACTAAGATCTAACGGGGAGGGAATACGTTAGTGACAACGATCTAACGTGAAGGGAATGTTGTTAGACTAAGATCTAACAGGGAGGGAATACGTTAGTGACAACGATCTAACGTGAAGGGAATGTTGTTAGACTAAGATCTAACGGGGAGGGAATACGTTAGTGACAACGATCTAACGTGAAGGGAATGTTGTTAGACTAAGATCTAACAGGGAGGGAATACGTTAGTGACAGTGATCTAACGTGAAGGGAATGTTGTTAGACTAAGATCTAACGGGGAGGGAATACGTTAGTGACAACGATCTAACGTGAAGGGAATGTTGTTAGACTAAGATCTAACAGGGAGGGAATACGTTAGTGACAACGATCTAACGTGAAGGGAATGTTGTTAGACTAAGATCTAACGGGGAGGGAATACGTTAGTGACAACGATCTAACGTGGAGGGAATGTTTTTAGACTAAGATCTAACAGGAAAGGAATAACCAGAGACTACGATCCAACAAATGCTAACAAATTGCAAAATAACAAAGATTGCTATTTTGTGTAATGAGATTTTTTTTTCTTATTTATCACTTTGATATTATCATGTTCAAGTTTCCTTGTGGCTATGGCCACATATGGATCTGAAGTAGAAATTAGACGATGTGAAAAGAAAGGCAGTACAATATACAATATCTTAGTATTTCTAGAATTGTTATATGTAAGAATTTTGTGCTTTGCTAGTGTCCAACTATGAATCCTTTTCTGCCAAGAATCCATGACAAAGATCCAAGGTTTGCGGAAGTTTTTACCTCAGCACCGAAACGCCAAGAGAATTAAATGTTGGCCAATAAAAGCTGTTTAGTGTATGTGAATTTTCTTTTTTAAAGATAATGCCCACTTAAGTTAACTTCATTTTTTTTCTGTAGAAAGTTCTGACTAGGATTAAAAAAGCTGAAATTTGAACTTCAGGGTATTTGTAAGTTTGAAATTATTACATGATAAGCCCAGACTCTACTTTACAGCTCTGCTTAGACCATCACCACCACTTTTGCCAACTGACCATCACACTATATAGAATTTTGTTATAGTTTTTTGAAATGATGGAGTAAATGTCCATCAATCTAATAAAAAGTTGAAGCGTCACCATACTGAGATTTAGTACAGAAGTGCTGTTATAGCTAATGTTAACAATTAAGAACAATCCGCTATCGATATGCTATTTTAATGTTACAACAGAAAAAATGTAGTTGGACATTGACAGAATAGCTAAATTTTGATTTCTCTTGCTCGTGTCGTTAAATATCATTCCACAAAAAACTTTTATATATAATGTCATGAAAGCAAGGGAAAATACCCAAACTATCTAAACATTGAAATTTCAGACAAGCAAGCAAGCATATTTTCTTCAAAGTAAAAGTTGTAATTGTACATTCCACATGTTTGAAATGTTGAAAATTATAGCTTATGCCACTTTTTATTTTGTGTTAAAAAAAATTTTGTGTTATTAATACATCCTATAAATATTATTTTTTCAGCTGCGGTGTACTTTGTTCCAGAACATTATCCTGTAAATATGACACATGTTGAAACAGGATTTTTCTACCAGGTTTCTTTCTAGTAATTGATTTGAAGTTAACTGATTAGTTTTGAAATCTACTCACACATTCAGTTTGGACAATTTTCAAACTTCCCGTTTTCTTCAATTGCTATCATCCACCTCATAGATAAATTGGTTAATTCACAAAAAAACTATGGTTACCTCGTACGTTCTGGAAAATTCGAGTATACGATTTTGATCCATCTGATTTTTTATTTTCGAGCATTGATCCCATTTAGATTTGGGATATGTTGAGGTTTCTTTTATTCACAGAATAATTTAATAAAAAAAATTCATTTAAAAAAAATAATTTTTATCTATTGCACGCATTCTAAACAAAAATCATTGCGACATTGCGATAGACAATAGGAGTAGCGTGTGTTATTTCCCCAAATAATCACTAAGCGGAGAACTACCATATGCACATAGATGATGTCGAATATATTGCGGTCACTCAGTTTTTCATCTTCACAATCCTCAAAATCCATTTACTGTGGACTCATTTGTGGTTATTTTTCCAATATTCACTTTGCTGGTTATTTCTTATTGGTTTGTTCGAATTTGACACTTTTTGTTTTGTATTCAGACAACCATCCGTAAATTTATGATTGGCAATTTATCAGAGAATTACAGCTTCTTGTCACATTTGGAATTGTTTGCAACTTCAACTTTGATGTAAGTAGAACTGTTCCAAAAACTACCCTACCTAAAAACATCAGCAATAATAGTGCATATATGCTCAAGCAGTTTAGTATTCAAGATGTGAATGTAATTTCCATAAGCATTTGTAATGGATTACATTGCAGAATGACTATTGATTGGAGAAAAATACAAATTCTTTTTTATTTTATTTATATTCATCCCAAGTCACGATAATCATTTCCTGGGCGTTTGAAAAACAAAGCATCAGTTTCAAGCAAGTTTCGTACATGCAAGGATAAAGTTGCATTGAAGCAAGAGTGATCACAGTGTGATGGTAATCATGATATTATTATAGGTCTATTGCCACACAACAACACCCTTATCTAATTTCTCGATTTTAAAAATAGAGTGGGTCGATTTCGATTAAAAACTGAGTGGGTTCGAAGGAATGTCGGACTCCTCGCCACTGTACTGTAGAGTGGTTCACATTGTTGATTACCGCTTTCTCCACCCAGTCCATGCATCTTGAAACAAATAACTGGCAAACTAATCGGATACCCGAAATGAGCTGGTAAAAGGACGGGAGGCTGTGATTCACCCAGGGCTGGGGAGCTGGTTTGAAATCATGATTGCTCCGGCTCCAGCTCTGGAGTCGCAGTGTATTCAATCTTTAGCTCCAACTCCGGCTCCGGAGCTTCATTTTTTTATGCCGGAGCTGGCTCCAGCTCCGGCTCCATAGCCATTATCAGTAGTGCAGCCCAATAACGCATTTTGCTAATTGTTTTCTAAGTGTGGCATGTTATTTAGGCTGTAAACACCCTTCAAGTCGGTGTCATGATAATTCCTTTTGGTTCCTGCATATAACTTGTGAATCCACTGAGAGTTATTATATGCTGTATTTCCGGGCGAATCGGTCTACCCAGCATATAAGGGTTTTACATATAACCCCACAATAAGATGGGCAGGAAAATCGGCTCCTGGCATGGTCGCAGCGTTTGTGCATTCGGTAAAATAGCTCATAATGACTTTTTCTACCACATGATATTTAACCCATAATAACTGTCTTTTTATTTTAATTTAATTGTGTTCAACATAACTGGCAATCATGCCGGCCAAATAAAATCTGTCGTGGGCCATTCTAAAGCAAAACTTATGGTGTTTTCTGTTTTATTTTTAGTATTTTATAATGTCGCTTTTTAATCAGGAAAATTTGGTTTGCGTATTGACTTCTTTATTTATCTTAGAATTTCATCACCGATGATTATGTAATAACTCGTTTTCCCACAAATATGGTGCGCGACACAAAACATATGTCTTGAGAAATTGTGATTAAGGGAAAAATAAACACTGAAATAAAAGATGTATGGCCTAATGTTTATGACGACGAAAACAATTGACGCTTTTCACGAAATGCAACGCACATGTGATAGTAACGGCAATAGCCCTTCAACTCATGATAATTTAAACTGGCCTGACGGGGAGGCAGTATTTTATGGTCCAAATTGAATAAGCAGACCCAAAATAATGGAAATTACAATCGTCACCCAATTAGATGCCGTCCCCCTCTCCCAAATCAGGCCAAAAGTTGGTTCTAGAATCGAGGCGTTTTCATAATTATCAGCGATGAGATGTTAAAGATAAATAGAGAAGTCAATTCGCAAGCCGAATTTTCACATGGGAGAGTTATTATAAGATACTAAAATGAAACGGAAAACACTATAAACTTTGTTCTAGGACAGTGGTCGGCAACCTTTTTCAAGTGACGGACCGGTAAAGCCTGACCAAAATTTTGGCGGACCACCTTCATACAAACGAACTAAGCCTATGCAATAAATTATATGCATTAGGAAATTTACTAAAAACGACGGTGATGCTATTTAATGCGATATCTGTATTTGTTTGATGGCCATTAACTGCTCCCATATCCGAGACATTGACACACGTAACGTGTTTCTTACATCTAACCTACTTCAATATTATATGGTTTTTGTAGTTATCAATATTGAAAACCAGGCCACACTTTAAGATTTCGGGTTAACATTTTGTTGGGGGATCTTATTCGGACTGATGAGAGACATTTCTTATACGGGCGTAGAGAAAACAATTGACGCAGCATTATTGCGACATACTGATATGACAATTGTTTATGAAGTCAGACACGCTGCTCAATAGTGTTGTGCAGTGGTCGGCAAACTTCATGTCCTTGCGGGCCAAATATACACGTTTCCGGTAGCGCGCGGGCTGCAATATTTCCGCCTTCGAACAATCGCTACAATAATTAAACTTCAAATTACGGCGCATTCGCATTGCTGCCCTTCTTTTGCTGTGTTGAAATCTTGTCCCAATGAGATGTGTATGTGGCGTTTTTTTAATATTATATTCAACAATACATTGTTTTTATTTACTTATTATCAATGTGAAAGATGATGTTTTTATGGCAACTCGTCGTCCAAATGATGATCTGATAAGCGAGTACGAAATTTAATCTAAGTGTAATGCATTTCAGATACAGCTGCTCAAGGCCATATGTTCTTCCGAACGTGCACATTACATGTTTTAAACGGTCGCACAGATGAGCTGTGGCGCAGTCACGGGTCTCGGGGTCGAATTTTCGACGACTCGTTTCATAACGAGTTTATTTAAAACATTGAAAACCTTGACATTTGCAATGCTGACTGGGCATATCGAGCGAACCGGTTTTGTAATGCCTAAGAAAGAAAAATATTTTTCCGTTCAAGCACTTTGGAATGCTCGATCCTTTGTCGCTCCGTTTCCCGGACATTTTTAAATTTGAAAAATCGAAACTAACTCGAACGACATACAACTGACGCTACTTGTTACATGAGAAGCGCCGTACAGCAGCACATGTCACCACATGAATCCGTGTAGAGACAATATTAAATTTGGGATCAATTTTTGTTTTGTCGGGTCGTTCGAGAGCCGCAACAAATTAGCTCGCGGGCCGCATTTGGCCCGCAGTTTGCCAACTCTTAGTGTTGTGTTTGCCTGGTTTACTGTTGGGTTTTGGGTTGCTGTTTTTTAGTTGTAGGGCTTGTGGTTAGATTGTAGAGGTTTTATTACGGTCTTGTCTGTTTTTGTGTCATCTCTCTGCAGACCGGCAGTAACCTTTCCGCGGACCGGCGATGGGCCGCGGCCCGGTGGTTGCCGACCACTGTTCTAGGAGACTCCCAACAGCTAAAAAAAATGCCTTGTTAATCTCATTATTTTTTTTGCCTACGACATATTATTTACCGGTTGACTTTGGAAATTATACAGTCACTAAAATAAATCTAAACGCAATCAATCTTACTCGCGATATACTTTTTATATATTGATGAGATATTTCTTCAGAACATGCTATGTTATGGATCAAAACAAGATATAATGGGCACTTTGCCATACATCTTTATGCCAGGTGACTGCTGCAGTGCATTTTGGAGTAGTTAAACCTTTCTTTTGTCGTAAAACGACTCAATCTCGAGATACGTTGAACAGAATTGAAGACATTTGAAATGAATTGGATATTCAACGCCACGAAAAAATCATAATATGTTACATGGAAATTCCAAAATCACTTCTTCGAAAATCCCTGGCCATTAGGGTTTTTGAGCTTGACCGCAATCATGAAAAATTGCAGCTTAGTGGAAATGAGAATCAAAATTTTGATAAAAGCGAACCGCTTCAAATTTTGATACTAAACTTTCAAACATACAGAATAACTGGAAACTTTTTAAAAAATATTAGGAACTAAAATTTTTAAAATGAATTATAAACTGAAAAGAAAAGATTTTATCATTTGTAACGCTATCAGAAAAAAATTATAAATTTGAAAAACAAAAAATGAGATATTTAGGAGCTGGAGCCTGGAGCCACTAAATTTTTGGTAGCTCCAGCTCCAGCTCCATCTGTTATAAAAAGCTTTGCTCCAACTCCGGCTCCATCAAACTGTAACGGCTCCAGGCTACGACTCCAGCTCCAGCTCCCCAGCCCTGGATTCACCATATAATTAGTTTGGCTTTTCGAACCCTCTGTATAAATATGGAAATCCTATCATATGTCTAAACCTAATGTGACCAATGCCAAAATAAATGATCTGATTTTTTTTTGGTACTTCTGTAGTATGCGAATTGCGAACCAAATATGGTGGACACCGGAACGTAGTATGTGTACCTGGTTAGATTTGTACCATAATTTCAGGTACAAATACTACAAGAGTTATGGTCTAATTCTAACCTGGTACACATACTACGTTCCGGTGTCCGCCATGTGGGTTCGCATGCTACAGTAGTACCCTTTTTTAATTGATGGACTTTTTCATTTATGTATATGTGTCACTACACATATGTATTCAGATATGAAATATTGTTTATGCTGTTCAGTGACAATGGGCTTGTCATTCAGCGAATAATTCACAGAGTGGTGCATTTTTTTTAAACTAGAGGCAATAAGAAACATAAAAGTAAATGGCTTCCTAGAAAAAACATTTGTCTCCATCTACTAGATGTTTAAAAAGTAGAGCTGTTGAGCCCAGTAACAATAATTCAGTATAACAATTCAGGCATAGTTTATGAATAAAAAAATTATATTATGTTCAACCAATTTGAAAAATGTATGTAACATGTTTCTACTTTTTTGTTCATTTGTTTCAATGACTGTAAGAAACCGTGAATTTATTCAAGCTTTTCTGTCTAAATAATTGTATTTCGGAATATCTTCATCAATTTTTCCTGTATTTGAATTACCGTGTAGTAGTTTTGAATCCCTCGTGTCAGGACCCAATTTATCTATATACTTCAACATATGGTTTTCTTGATACTATTTTAAAACTTTAATACTATCTATTTCATAGATTCTCAAAGTGCTTCATACGTCGGAGAAACCGATGGTGGAGAAACTGCCCAAAGAAGAGAGAACAGCATTAATAAAAATTCGACAACAGTAGCGTCGAAATGTGGCAACAAGGCGACAATTCAGAAATGGCATTATCTATAGGTTCCAATGAATAATTATTTATTTAAATTTATAATAGTCAACCTCCTCACGGGCTCCATGATTAAGAACCCTTGAATCTATTCAATACTGCAAAATATGGCAGACTAAAACAGGACAGATAGGCTCAATTCATTCTCACTATTGTATTTAGAGCAGTGCTTTCAAGTCTCTTTTCAGGATTATCTCATCTGACATAAATGTTTCTGTAACCTTAGTTATGTCCATCCAGCAATATGGGGCTTAGCATATCATCTTTCTGTGTAACCAATTTATTCAGTCAGCAGTGCAAACTGGACAGGAAAAAACAAGAGACAATGGTGATAGGCCCAAAGAAGCATAAAACGCATGTGCTGTAATGTGACAAACTGTTTGCTATTCATATACGCATGGAATTGGGTCAATAGTCTGGTATTAAATGATGTACTACAGATGAAGCAGCTACTCACATTAAAAACATATTAAACGGAGTTTCTACCCGTGATGGAGAAAGTTCTAAAAGTGCTGCTGCATTACAACTTGGTGATAAAGTTTGATTGGTCTGCAAAGTGACTCGCTTCAAGATTTGGGGAATAGTGCATCTTGGTATTGATGTTAGGCCGGGTTCATATCTTGCCAGTGGTTGTACAAAAATGGTTGAGGTCACAGAACTTGTTTGACCGACGATCAGTCGTGATTAGGCTTTTAAATTGGCTCTTTTGTTTTAATTCGAATAGCAGTGAAATACAATAAACACGTGTTGTGAAATGTAAAAAAATGCAATATTTTCAAATCAAGGCGGTCACATTGCCAGGTTTCGGAATGTTGGATCACCCAAGGCTTGGACTGCACGCGAGTTCGATTTGGCTATCTTGCTGTATTTAAAAACATTTTATGTCATCAGTATTCAACACTAGATGTAGCTTTGAACAAAAGCTTGTGTTATTAGAGTTGGCCTCTTGAACAATTAATTACCCCAATTTCGGAGTTTTATGCCCATTTCAGTAACGAAAACAAAATTAATTTTTCCCAAAATCCGAACAAAGACTTCCCGTAGGAATCAAATTACTCCACGTTTAAGAACATAACAAGTTGCGTCCTGTCATTATCAAATTAAAATTTTATATTCTCAAGACCTTTGACACTGATTGAAATAATTATATTTAAGTTCCCATCCGTACGACGTACATGATTACCCATATTAAAATAATAATAAGAGTTTCTGTTTGCACTATATATACTCAATCAAACAGCAATAATATTAAAAACGTGATTATCTTTCAATAGGAAGCTAGTCTTGATAAATTTTACGACTGTACTCTGTGTGTTGTGGAAATCTATGAATAAAATCAAATAGTTTTCTAACGTACCTTCATTCACGTGGGCGTTAACGCTGAAGGGTGTGTGAATGGACGACTTGCAATACTGAGACGGTCTACAAATTAGCACTATACGGTGACATCACATTCATTTACAATATATTTGATATAGTATAATCATTGGATTACATTATTTTTGCACCCATGACTATTGCATCTGCATACTCTTATACCCACGAACATTTGCATCCACGTACAGAATGCACCCATGAACATTTGAACCTTGGACCCATGGGCATTTGTACCTACAGACATTTGAACCCAACGGACATACCCACCTAGGTTACGTTGTAAACGTACCATACGTTGTTTACAAATTTGTCGTACATTTTGCCTCTGTATGCAGTGCATCGTCCTTTCGGTCATTTTTGCATCACGTATTCGTCGTGTAAGAGCCGCAGATATTTGTCTGTATTGTGGACTGTTTATTTATCTGCTATATATATATTGTAATTGTATTAGCCATCCGGATCGGAAAACGTTTGGTAACAATTTTGCCTTTTGTTGTTCATATTGTTGATATGTATATGCTTTGTGACTTAAGTTAATCAATTGTGTTTTATTCATTTAAGAAAACCGCTGTTTATTGCCAAGCGTATAAAGAAGAAGCTGATTTATGCATGTGTCTTGTTTGTGGGCAAAGGGGCTGAGAGTGGCGCTTTCGATACGTCCATATATGTTCCGGGCTATCAAAAGACAGTTAGTTCGGGATATCAGTGTGGAGAGGCCGAGATGTCTGCACACTGAAGATTTTGGGTCGGTAAATGTTTAAGATTGCTAATTTTCAAATGAAAACTTTCTAAATTGGAGCCTACTTCGAGTTTTTATGTTTGTTGTTTATTTTTAGCTTTGTTTGTTTACTAAGAAAAACAGCAGCTAATTTCCTATATATATGTTATGATTGGGATTCGCATTTCGGGACAGGCGCCGTCACATTACTTCTAATTGTTTTTGTACTTTTCACCACTTTCGTTCTCCGAAATTATTTACAAGTAAGCTTTGCCTGTGAATTTTATTTTCTCGTGCTTATATATAGGCTGTTTATGAATTGCATTTCTACCTTTTCATTCAAAAGAAATTACCATAAAATGGTATAGGTGGGAATAATATATAAGTAAACCACCTGTATATGTTGAGATTTAAGAATAATGTAAGACGTGGAATGAGTGAGCAAACATCTGTCTGTGTTTATGACTTTGTTTATTCCGTCTTTACTACTCCTGCGTAGGCATACAAGAAACAAATCGATAATCTTTATGTGTTTGCTATAATTTTTCTTGTTCTAGTTGAAATATGCTTGTCTGAAAAAATCTGACTTCTATTGAACGAAACATTACAAATATACATTTGTGTTGATGTGCAGCAAAACTCAAATCCAGCAGGGATCGAATCAAAATACAACAGTAATAAATAACGCATATTGGCCACTATGGTTTTTGGTTAGATTCTGGAATCATTATTCGAAAATGCCCAGCCCTAGTTGCACTTAGACATGAGTTGAATAGTAACTTCTTACATAATATCATATCTATCATTTCTTGTAGGGAGCATTGGTTGGAGAGAAAAGGGCGAATAAGCGAAATTTTATAAAGAGTGTCGTCGAAGAATTCTCATATGGGCGAAATGCAGGAGATTCATGGAAACTGCGCGGCGGTGTGGCTCATCGTGCTAAGCGTATTTTTTTTACAAAAAGCAGTTGCAGCAGTGGAAACCACATGAAGCAAGACAATACATGCATGACATAAAAATTACCATGCCGATGAAATAAATTTTGGAAATTAGTGTTACCGAGCAATGACAATGGGTGATCCGAGATATATTTTCAGACGAGCGTTCTTATCTCAATGTAGCGGATGGAAATAACGTGTAATAGAATACAGCGTAACCGTAAAAAAAAATCCTTGGGAAACTGCATATTCGCAATGCGTTTGTCAATATCGACTGCGGGAAAGGGCATTTTCTTAGAAGTGGGATTCGTTAAAATGACGGATCGATTAAAGAGGTCGGTCGGCTTGTACGATATGGGCAGCTTAAAGTGGGGGGGGGGGGGGGGGGTCTCGAAGTGATTTGTGTAATCTAAACAAAACAACAGGTCTTGACTTGAAATTCGAATGGCCCATGACCTGAGATATATATATATATATATATATATATATATATATAGAAACATTTTCTTAATATTGGCGAAGTCTAGAAATTCAATAACTGGAAGTTTCGGTCCATTAGTCAAGTTTTTTTTCAGCAAAAAATAACGAGAACAAAACAATCAGTTTTACTGGGGAATAGAAGGTGCGGAAAACTAAACTTGGTTATTGAGTAAATGAAATGGTAACATATGGCCCATGGTCGTCGTTTTGGCAGTGTATTCTGAAGTTTACCCCAGGTTCATATTTAGGTTAGTTTGTCGGATCATGCGAAGTGCGATCAGAGTTACGTAACCTCTCGCGTCGTAGTTTTAGGATTAATCTATACCATCTAGGGCAGGGGTATGCAATTAGCGGCCCGAGGGCCCCGACTCGCCAAGCCATTTAGTGTGGCCCTTGTCAAGACTCAGATTTTTCCACCCACATCAAGCATGAAATCGTAATCCGACAGTTTATGTTTAAGCGTTGCGACAACTTCTGTCACAGCTGATGTTAACAAATTATGCAAGAACTCAAAATTTCAAGTAACCCAGTAAAGTTATAAATAAATAAAATTGGATTGTAGGGATTTTTCAATTTCTTTTGTCCATGGACAACCCAATTTTTTTTTGTGTGTGGCCCAGCTAGATGTCTGAAATTGGTTATATGACCAACCGACAAAAATGTTCCACACCTCTGAAGTAGAGGCTCCAAAACCGTAGGAATTACGGGATAGGGTTTTCATATTTATCCTGGGAAGAAAGAATGAAGCCGTTAAGACGGCTTAATCATATAGCGAACCACGGTCTCTCGGCCGGTTACCAGTCCATGTCGGGTATGGGATTAGTGAACCAGTTCTTTGTTTCATAGGCATGGACTTGCTGGTGGAGGAGGCCAACTAACCACCCTTCGGCGGCGAAGAGTCCTGTAATCCTCTCGCATATTATTATCCTCCACGGGATTTGAACCCCCAAAGTGTGACCACAAGTGCGTTGGTGAGCGTAATTCAAACGCTTAGCGCCAGAAGCCACACCACCAAGCCTCATATTCTTTACGCATTTGCTTTCTGTAATACCTTGTTTCAAAAAGCTGTTGTCAACCAAATGTTCATTTAACTATTGGAATTCGCTACTCGCTTTGATCATTGCGTTCACGAAAATCCTTGTGAATGCCAACAAATGAAGTCAATGAATAGTCTTATTACGGCTTATAAGAAAGCTGACAATGGTAGTACAAAACTATAAAGCTCCTGTACATTTTCACAGATATTTATTTTATATATCTAAGCATTTAATTCCGTCACCAAACCAATCCAGAAGCGAAGATGAGTTTCGTAAAAATACTTTTCTTCATTTCTCTTATCTGTGTCTTGTTGGCAGAGAAAATATTACGCGGTAAAATTTGTTTCGGCTAAAATTTCTTGATAGAGTTCGCGATACTATTTACATCCAGCCTGGCTTATGCTACCTAGAAGCCTAGATCATTTTTGAGTAGATGACTATTGAATAAACAAGTATCATGAGAACTTTCTAAAATTGAAAATTTGAGTTGGCATTCAGCGATTTATCGAATAAATGTTTTTTTATCATTCTTCTATTCAATGGTGAATTACAAATTTTGACCCCGAGTCAAAAAATAATTCGACTACACGAATGAACAAAAACGCATTTCACAAAATTACCAATTTTCGAACTCTAGTTGAAATTAATTTTTTTTTTGGTTACCATGTTGTTAATATCTTAAGCATTTAAATAAGTATCGAGGATGCCGGAACTTTTAGAATTACAGTTCGAAAACATTTTTATTTTACACGGAAACACATTCACATGCAATTCGGTAATATCTTCGTTTGGAAGTTGGCTTAAGTGGTTGTGGAAATCAGGGCTGCCTGCGAAAAACGAATACATTCTAGAGCAGCGTTTCCCAACCTTTTTTGATCGCGGACTATTTTCTCACCGGCAAAAACCTCTGCGGACTCAACGTGCGTTTATTGCAACCGTATCCTGTGTGAAGAAGTAATAAAACCAAACACAACAGAATTTTAACGAATTTCAAAATCGAAAATTCGCCGCAGTTACGCGTTTGTCAAAAGAGCCGACTTTTTAGTGTATAAATGGCTTTTTGTGTCGCACAATATTCAATCCATGATAACGACGAGAATTTGAAATGTCTTTCTCTTTTAATTTAATTGTGTTCATGGCTCGCGGTTGCGTCGACTTATGACAAGATGAAAGCATTACTTCTTTAAAATGCCACGAAAAGTAGCGAACATATTAAAGCGAGAATATATGGCCCGATTATATTTAGTTTTGTTAAATATTTTTTGCGATCTTGAAAATTTGTTATCTGCTATAAATTTCCAGAAAGTACAACTTGATTTAGTACTTATTAAAAACGTAATTAAAGTATATTAGTAAATCAAAAAAACTATTCATCGCCTTGCTTTAATATTAATTTAATTGTGGTCATTATAATATGCGGTTGTGTTGACGAAATAAAAGCAATACTACTCATAAAATACCATGACAATCCGTGGACACAAATAGGCGTGGTGAAGTGCCCGATTATATTTTGTTTTGATTCGTATTTTTGTGAATTCGACAAATCTGAGCAGTTCGTACAACACTTACGGCGCTCCGGTACTGTACGTACCAATGTGGAGGCAGTAAAGCAAAGAATCCTAAGAGAAAATGCCCTATTACGTATACCACGGTAGCACCCGAAATTTTGCGATTTGCAATGTCTAAAAAGCGATTTTAATCGGTAGCGGAACATCATAAAACAAAACTTATGGTGTTTTACGTTTTATTTTTTGCATTCCCGCTTTTCCATTTGAAAAATTTGGGTTGCCACCATTGACACCAGAAAAAAAATTATTCCTCGCTGCTCGAGCTCGCGAGAAGCGCCGCTTAGCTATCCACGCGCGTGCCGACTCGTGTTTTCGTCGGGAATCCGCAAGTGACCTGTCGCTTCACCTGTTACCAAATTTCCGAATAGTAAATTGCTATTCTAATAGTTGAATTTTCGAATATATATATATGCCCAGTCCTATTTAGTATTCAGTAATTATTGACTCGATTAATGTTATGTGAATAAACTTGCTTTTTTTGTTTTATGTAAATTTTAACGTAAATCGTAACTTGGCTG